AATCAGTCTTGACTCCTGGCTGCTGCGTGGATGAGCTGTGTAGTTTTCTTGGAAAGACTTTGGAAGTCGTTTGTCATTCTCTTCTTCCTAGGGCTGAGAGAGAGTGACTGGTCCAAGGTCACCCTGCTGGCTTCGTGCCTAAGGCAGAACTAGAACTCACAGTCTTCCAGTTTCTAGTCCTGTGCCTTTAACCACAACACCAAACTCGCTCTCTGTTTGAATTTAGTCCTTCTGAATTAGCTGGACTGGTTCCAATAAAACAGCTTTCTAAGGATATCTAGGGAAAAAGCCTGATCCATAGGCAGAAAAAATGATATCCATAAGGAATATGCCACAGTCAAAATTATTTTAAAATAGCTGTTAGTATGCTCTACTATATAGCTCTACTATATAGCTAAAATCCTTTAGCTTCTTTTCTCTGCCTTATTGGCAAAGGATTTTTGTGAAATTGCATTTTGGTACAAAAAATAGCTCCAGCTTTTAAAACTAAGTATGTTAATTTATCTCCTGTTTTCATGTGATTTTAGTCAGGTGCTATAATGGCTGTCCTTGGAGCAGTATGTACAAAGATTCCAGAAGCCAAGCTAGCTATAATATTTCTTCCAATGTTCACATTTACTGCTGGAAATGTAAGTGGCTTTGAATAATTGATGGGAAACCCTCTTTTATCTGTTGTTATCTGCACCTTATAACACTTTTCTGTGCTTTATTGTATTTCAAAATTGGATATAATTTTAAAGTTCTATTTAAGCCCAGACAACAGACAGTACAGAGCAGTGTGGCATTTGTTTACACTGTAAATTGAATTTCTTAAGGCCAAACTTATCTTTTGAATTATTTGTGTATTAAATATGCTAAATTCCAAAGGTGTATTATGAAAAGTGTTAAAATATATAATTAAAAGCTTGGTTTGAGATCTAGAAACCTACTTTATGTAATATAGAGATGTTCCACTAGTCTACAAGAGAAGCATGTCTTTCTCGTTTGCTCTTTGTCCCACTTCTCTTTCTGCTATAGCCTTTTGGAATTACCGGTACTAATTGGCCTGGAGTAGGCCAGGAACCCAGGTAAACTAGTCTTCTGGAAGAGCTGCTGAAATGACCTGACTTCCCATTTCTCTCTTTCTGCTATACATAATGAAATTTCTAGTTTGCATATTAGCAACAGAGCCTGAGCCCATAGAAGAGATGTGTCTTCAAATCAGAATTTAGCATAACCCTCACGCTTGATCGTTATACTGTTGACTGCATAGCAAATGTTAATTTATGAATATGGGATAAATGTTTCTGATCTGTTTATAACTGCAGTAGCTTTGCTGTTTATTGCACCTTACCAATAAGTCATTTACTTATTTCTAGGCTTTAAAAGCTATTATTGCATTGGACAGTGTAGGACTTATTTTGGGTTGGAGGTTTTTTGACCATGCATCACACCTTGGAGGAGTTCTGTTTGGCATGTAAGTAGTGATATTATGTTATCATGATAAATGTGATATGTCATTGCATTTTTCTTGTTTTTAAAAAGATCCTGTACAATGACCATTTCTTGGGTCTGACTTTCCTGTTAAGAATTATTTTCAGTCATGTAATTTGATTACCTTTGTCATATAAACAATTCTTGTCTCTCTAATGTATCTTGTGAAAAAAAGTTTCTTTTGTTTGTTTCTTTCAAGGTGGTATGTAATGTATGGGAATAAACTAATATGGAATAATAGAGAACCAGTGGTGAAAGCATGGCATACAGTGAAGACATGGAGGCCAAATAAATGAAGTGGATTCTTGGCTACTGCATTTCAGAATATATTTGTATTGAAATGAGCATAAGTGTTGGAGACAGGCTAGTGTATTGATTAAATCATAACTACATACAAATTACTAAGATTTTAAGTTCTAACCCCACACTGAAAATAAATATGCTTGGTAAATAAAATATAATTGAAACAAAGATGTGTACCTTGTTGTTGAACTGAGTAAGTCTGTATCCTTTCTTTGGGTATTTTAGAGCTGAATTAAAATTGGATCAGTTGTCTGATGAATTAATTCATTTTTAAATGAAGGTAAGACAAGAGTTCTTAAAGCTTAACAATCCCAATGCCACTTTTAGAGATCATTTTTCATTCTTTAGCAATCTGTATTTGATATGAATACGCACATAAAGAAGGGATTCTCAAACATTATGATTCTGTGACCCCTTTGTAGCTGCTGCTCAATGAGTAGGTGGCAGCTGTGGCCAGGAGGGCCTTTGCACAGGTTCACCCTGTGTGCCAGTTGTACTCTTTTCTCAACTGGGAGGACCTTCAGATAGTCATTCATGCCCTGGTCACCTCATGACTGGACTATTGCAATGTGCTCTACGTGGGTCTGCCCTTGAGACCATCTAGAAACTATAGCTGTTTCAAAACGCAGTGGTGCAAGCAGTAATGGGCACTTCTCATTATGCCCTTGTGTCACAGCCAAGCGAGCTCCACTGCTTGCCAGTTGGCTTCTGAGTGCAATTCAAGGTGCTGGTCGTCACTTATAAAGCCCTTTGTGGTATAGTGCCTGGTTATCTGCGAACCACTTATTTCCATTTCTGGCTGCCTGGCATGTTCAGGCAGAGTAGATGCACTCCAGGTCCTCTCAAACAGTGTCACATTGTGGAACCACGGAACCATGCCTTCTCTGTCACTGCCTTTGCCCTCTGGAATAGCACCCTCCCCAAGATATGTATGGCACCCACTTTCCTGGAAACAGAGTATGTCTGTCAAGATGGTTTTGTGAGAAAATGCTCACCTAAAAGGAAAACCAAAGCATTTGAAGATAGAAGCAACAAAATATGCTTTATTGGAATACACTTACAGTGATCACGGGCTCCCCGCCAGCAGACAACAGGAGAGAGTTCTGAGCAAAACAACCCCAAACGCTGTGGGTTATACATGTTTGGTTGATTACATGTGAAACAGAAAGATAAAAGGACTAATACAATTACATGGCTACCCTTCCCCTAGAATGCTTTGATAAGCTATTGAATTGACCTTATTATATTTCATGCTTGCAGTATCCTTCCTGATATTGACATGTGCCATAAACAGCAATGTTTACATTGCAATCTCTTGTTACAGCATTTCATTCCTCCTCCCTAGAACAACTGTCTGATTTATATTAACTGACTCTGGTCCAGGGTCACAGTATTAGGTACTAGGTTATACAAATACATTGCTGCCTCTAAGCTACCTAAAGATTTATACCTATTAATAGGTGTATACAGTATATTCTAACATGATTTGATGTGTGGCAGACATCAAATTATACCACCATATTCTCCTATTTCCCCCCTCTTGAGGTGGGCCACAAGGGGGCAGGGGTTTGGTATGACGATATACGGGCTACCCAGGGGATGACTACAGGGGAATGTATACACCCTTTATGACCATAGTTGTTACAAATAACACTAATTACCACAGCAGGAGAGTCTACAAGCAATGTAGATATAGAGAACCAGTACTAATAAGGCAACTAATAGACCCAAAACTAAAATATTTTAACCCATTTCCATATACTGTAGTGGCAAAGTTGGGAATGTACAATAATGTATGCTCCAAACTACCTTCTGTAACTTGAGTATCCTGCATTGGATCTAAAAACAGCCTGCTTATGAATTATTGCTATATCAGTTTCTATGTGTTTGTGTTGATTAATCCAAACACAGCAGGAGGAATTCACTAGTTTACATACTGAAGCAAGTTACTCCAAAGCCATTCTGTTATCCATACTAAACTGGCCAATTTCTTCCACTTGTTTTTTGTATAGTATTCAAAGCATTGATTAATGCATGAAAGGCCAACTCTACTTCAATGGATGCATTCATGATATCTTTTTGTAATTCATTGGCTCCCAAATTTGGTAGTAAAACCCTTAACAGTGTAACCCTAGTGTTGTCTTCCTTCCTATCGAAGGGTTCTCAATATATCTAGGAAATCTTAAACGATGGGGGCCACTAATTTCATACTGATATGATTCATCTACTAGTACATGCCCTAGGGAAGAGCTTCCCTCAAAAATTCCCAGCTAACATTTTATTAGCATGTTCTCCACATATCCAATAGAAACGAGGCTACAGGGAAACAATATTTGTGATGATGTCCAGGACCACAATGGGTCACACACTTCCAGAAAAAAAGTTATTCTGGTTTCTGACCTTCTCAGAACCCTCAAGTAGACGCCTTGGCCAGAATCATGTTTAATCTGCTTCAGCTGATAACAATTTACAACTGGTGCATTGACACCCCTGGCTTGATTTTATAATGTACTCCACATAGGGCTGCCCTTCTGTGTCACTCAGAAACTTCAACTGGTTCAAAATACTGCAGGTTAATCCCATAAAGGCCAGTTTCACCAGTTTTGAAATGCTAACGTTAAATATTTTACTTGAATACTGCTGGTGAAAGAAAAAGAATGCTGACCTCAGGATGTTAGGAGTGCTGCATAATTCCTGCAATATCTAGCTTCTCTTGTGAAGATTGCCACTTGCTTATTTTCCTTTTTTCCATTCATTCCTGATTAGTCATCTGACATCTGAGTTTTCCTCTTCCCTATTTTAGATTGCAGGAGGCATGTATAATCGATTCTTCATTAGACTCTGCATGGAAGGCATGTATAAGGATGAGCTGGCTAGCTGCAGCGATTAGTGTTGAGCGCAGTAGGATGCCATCTAGAGAGAGAGGACAAGAGGTAGGATGGTAGGGTGGAAAGACTCGGTGACTGGTGCCATGTGTCACCCCTTTGCCCCCCCTCCCTTATTATCTCTATCCCTCGCGGATGCTGCATTAAGCTCCTTCTGTCACCCGGGGAGGGGGGTGGGGATGGGAATGAATGACAGGGCTATCATCACGTGTTTGCTAACCTCCTAAAGAAACTGAGGGACCAAAGTGTGGTATGAGGGGGGAGTGCTGACACTGAGAAGCCACGGGGCGAGCTGGAAGTAAATCTCAGCTGGGGAAGCCACCTCGCTTGCTGCAGAACTCCCCCTCCTCCGCTGAGGCACCCCCACCCCCTGGCCCCGGTATCTATCATTGCATCCTTGCACGGTGCTGCCGCCATGGCTTGGCCCTGCATCAGCCGAGTGTGCTGCCTGGCGCGCTTCTGGAACCAGCTGGACAAGTCGGATCTGGCCGTGCCGCTCACTATCCACAATTACTCCGACATCGAAGAGGGGGCGGAAGCGGACGGTGGGGACACTTCTCAGCAGCCTCGGATCCCGGCAGGGGGCAGCACCAGCAGCCGACCCCAGGCCCCTCCGCGGGCAGCCTCTGCCCTGCCGGTATCCGCGTCCGCCCCCTCGCTGCGGGACAGCTTGGTTGTTGTCAAGAGGCCGTCGAAAAAAAGCGGGGGCAGCCACCGGAAGGAGCCCTTCGCCGCAGAGACTCAGTATCAGCAGGATTTCCGAGCGTGGCCGCTGCAGAAGAGGGACGCCCTGCCCTGGCTCGGGGAGTGTCGGAGAGTTGAACCCACGCGGGCGCCTCCCGCTGCGGGCGCCCCCGCCGCCTTTCCCCACACTGACATCCTGGCAGGGTCTCGCGTGTATGTGCTGCCGGCGGCTAGGCAGGAGGTGAGCAATAAGGACGTTGGCTCCAGACAGGTGTGGCCTTCCTCCTCGCCTCCAGGTATCGCCAGGACAACTTCTTACAGGTAACCCTTTGAATGTGATCTAGTTTCACCCCAGCCGCAGGGTTGAGCTGAAGGCAGCAGCATTGTTCCATCTCTTCAGGCCCGAACAGATTATACAGAGTGTGTGGGTGTATGTAGATATGTATGTTTGTATCACCGTATACCTCCTGCTTGAATATGGTCAAGTCTTTCAAGGCAGGCAAACTCAGGAAATAAGAACCACTAGGATTCTGGTAACGTAACCATCTTGAAAGCCTGCCAAAGCTTTCTCTCCAATTCTCCATCTCAACTCTAGCAGAATTAAGGCAGAGTTACCCTGAGTTTCTTTCTCATGTTTCCCCTGTCCCCTCGACTCAGGAATCTTTTCCCAATGGCCTTGTTTCCTTCATAACAGTTGTGCTCCCTCCTCCATGTTCCCAGGTGTGTTAGACATTCCATCACAAATATATATTGAGCGTGTTGTTATTTAGACTGAAGTCCTGTCCTTTCTCCAAGAGCTCAAGTAGGTCCGTTGTCATGGTGGAGAGTCAGTACATCCTTTTTGCTTGCTTTATACAGTACGTATGTAACAGAGCTGGCACCGTGAAATCTGCTTTCAGTAGATCAGGCATTATATTTAGCCTTTCATGTTACATGTAATTCACATTTTAACTATTATTTAATTAAGTCTACTATATTTATATCCTGGCTTTTCTTAGGAAGCTTAAAGCAATGCACAGAATCCTCTCTCCTGAGCATACTAGTTTTATAGTAAGCATGGACAATATATTAGGCTTAATATAGAAATGATTGGGTTGAGAACAGCCATTGAGTTTCATAGCTGGGTCATCTTCTTTAATACATGTGTAGCATCTAACCATTCTTAGTTGTGAAAGTACTAAGTAGGGTTACACCTGGTTAATACTTAGACCTGAGACTAACAGAAGAGCTCAGGCTGTAGGCAAGACAAAATTGAAAAAAAAAATCCTGAATAGAGGCAATGACATGCCACTTCCATACTATAATCAAGAAAACATGGATCTGTCTGTATAGTCACCACAAGTTAAAAAGATGTTGTCAGGGACATTTTTTTGATTGCAGTGAATTGTTGCCTTTACTTGAAAGAAAAGGTCCATTAGGCATCCAATATATCTACACAGGACAACATTCATATGCATATAATCATCAACCAATCCTTCCTTACATACAAGTGCTTACTAAGTAATAATGTATGGAATAGGGTTATCAGGGGCTGAGAATTCATCAAAATGATGAAACATGAATAACGATATCAGGACATAAGCTCCACATCTTACATATTTCCATATGAAGTTACAGTGTAAGTACAAAGGGGGCAGAATTTGAATTGTGCAGTCACAATGCACATTTCAACATTTGCCCCCACTGTGGATGTCCATGCAAGTTACCATAATCTCATGGGATCTGATTTCCAGAGTTCAACCACTGATAATCAGGCAGGCTTCAGACATGGTATTCTTATAGCTACTACTGTATGTGCTCTCCTAAGCATCCTTAGCCCTTTCAACACTTTCCTTCCAAACAGACCTTAAATATTGCCCATAAATTAACATTATATAATTGAAGTACAAATATTTATTCAAAGTGAAATGGAACCATTTAGTCAAGGGACATTTGTAGTACAATCCTGAGTTAAAAGGGGTTTACTTATAGGAAAGTGATTATAGAATGAAAGATTGCATCCTAATTCTCAAAAATAATTAATTGCTCATCTTTTTTCTCAGAACTCATGGCAAGAGCACAGACTCAGTTTTGCATTCAACATGTTGTACTGACAAATAGCAGATTTTCCCTGTATTTTCTTTTCAGGCAAACCTATTCCTATGGAGGATATTTTCTATTACTTCAGCTCAGTCTTGAAACTCTTTAATGTTTTGTGAGCCTTTCCCCATTGCTGAGTCGCTCTCCATTCATCCTTAAATCAGCAGAAGCTACACAGTGTCATGAGATTGGCTCCTTATGGCTGATCCGTATCCTGCTTTCATTGTCTCTGTTTAGATCATTGTAGTCACCTGACTTCTGTCTAAGGAAATGGTTGCCAAAATTTAAAATATTCTGTCTGTTGGTCTGTCTGTGGATCTTTGGATGGTATTGGAATTATGGGGAAATTACTACTTTAAACAGTGGTATAGCTAACAACAACTATCCTCTCTCAGTCATGGGTGGGGATGAGGTAACGAAGTATTGGAGATAGGGAAGAGAAAAATACGTTGTTACTAAAGTTTTCCCAATTTAGCTTTGTCCAAATACATTAGATTTGAAACTACAACTCCTATCAGCCTGGTATAGCATGAGATTATGAGAGTTATAATCTAATGTATCTGAACAGCAGCATACCAGATAGGGCTGCTCTGCAAAACTTTGCTCTAAGCAAGATATCCTGCAAGTGTGATGCTTTTGCGAAGGAGCAAATATGGCCTGGAAGTTTGACAGTATCAGGAAGATAGACAAATCTTGATTTCAATCTGAACCCTATACATAATGTATTCAAATTGCATTTACAAAGTACTTATAGCTATAATCCCTGTTAATTCTATTTTCATTTTGTGAGGGTAAACAAGGAATATTAATTGAAAAATGCATTGTGTATATATTTGTAGCTTTCTGTGTATGATGAGAAAGCCGTCTAAGTTTGCCTTTTCCTTTTCAAAGCAGCATCATCTTTTTTTGTTGTTCAGTCGTTAAGTCGTGTCCGACTTTCATTTTGCAAATTAATTTTAGAAATGAATATCGCCCATGGTCTGCAACAAAACGATCCAGGCCTACAAAGACAACACAAGGGTTCATTATTCCAGAGGATCACTTTGTGCAAGAATCTAGCTACAAGGCAGACTTTAAGGTAAATGTGCTTTACAAAGTTTTTTGAATGTAGAAAATTACCAGTGTTTGGCCAGTAAAACACAGACCGTTTAAAGAATGGCATGTCGTGAAAGAAATGCTTCAAGACTCAAAACAGTAGTTAAATGTTAATAGAAAGTTGGAAATCAATAGAAATAGAAATCAGGAAAGGTGTCCTGATTTATCAGAAGCAGTCCTATGGGCGTGTTGTTTCATTTATGTTGAGCTGAATCCCAGTATGAGCAATACTACTAACTGGGCCCTCTTGTTTTAAATACATCTTCATTTGGAGCCACTAGCTGATACATGGAATTACCACCAAAATAAAGTCAGAATATGATACTTTGAACTTTAAGATTTAATTGTACACAGCATAGTCCTTTGTCATAATATCTATGCCTTAAATGGAGCTCACATTTAGTTCAGTGACGTCTAGTGTCATGTAAATGGGCACACAATTGATTATTGTAGCTTTAGTTTTTCTGCTATTAGTAAAAGAGGACATTTTAAAAACCAGATAAATACAAATTAGCATGCCACACAATTCCCACAAACATCAAATATTATAAAACAGTTGATTTGAAAAAAAAAAAATCTATAAGAATGCAGTACATCTATTAAATTAGTATCCTAAAGTTTAATTAATTTGTCCCTAAGCCACTTGTTGTGAGGGCAAATACATTTAACAATTCTCTTGTCCATGCCATTTAAGTATAATTTTAGTTAAATTGGACTACATTTATCTAGAATAGAAAAAACCTATCTCATTTTAATTTCTAGAAAATGTCCCTATTAATAGAATCACAGAATCACTACATTCAAAACTAATCTTGTCATGACTGTCAAGTATCTCTATGTGAATGATTGTTACCTTAATGCAGAAAAGTCATATCAGAGAAATGTAAATGAATTTAGGCTGATGGCTCTCCATTTTGAATTCTTCTCTAACAACTTATATCAAAGAAAGCTGATGATCATTATCTAGCAAATGGGTCCTATTTCCTTTTAATGTGCTCCCATTTGTTTTTAATTATAGAGAGGGTTGGGAATTAGATAAACCTCAGATAAATGCAAGATGAAGAATGCAACCATTGGCATATTTTCTTCTGTGCCTGTGTGTGTATATGTATGTATGAATTTGTGCTTTTGAGTCAGTGTTGACTTCTGGTGACTGCCTGGACTGTAGTTTTCTTGGCAAGATTTCAGAAGTGGTTTGCCATTACCTCCTTCCTAGGGCTGAGAGAGAGTGACTGGCCCAAGGTCACCCAGCTGCCTTTGTGCCTAAGGCAGGGCTAGAACTCACAGTCTCTCTGCTTTTAGCCTGGTGCCTTAACCACTACACCAAACTGGCTCTCTTCCTGAGAATAAACTTTCACTAATACACTAGAGATCCATGCATCAGATAGGGTTCACAGATAATAAGCAACTTTGTAAATTCTCTCTCTGTCTTTTTTTAATATATGACTGCAAAGTCTGGACTACCAGAACTGGACTGCAAATATCTGAAGACTACTAAATGAAGGCAAAGGATTTTCTGTATCCTTTTGCTGCTATCTAGTGATAATATGTTTTCCCATGCACAGAACCCATACATGATGACTCTGGTCCTAGGTGGGACATCACAGTTTTTATTTGATATTTTTTCTTAAACAGCTTTTCTCTTTGAAATCAGCCAAACAGCCACCAAAAGGAAGGCTGGTATACTAGTGAAGATGGCTAACCTGATATAATTGGGACCCTGCCAGTGTTTCATCAGGGACAGTAGGAGACTGGGTCAGCCATCTCATGTGGCACAGCTAATATATAACATAGAACTACTATATGCCACTACCACTGCAGGGATTCACATTTGATCTACCCTTAAGGACCTCTGCCCTTAAGAATTTTTTAAGTATGCTGGAGAATAAATGAAGTAGAGTCAGAACTATCATAAGGTCTACAGAATTTGTTTCCAGATCATACAATACAGTGTCATTGGGCAGTTAAGAATCAGGCAATAAATGTACAAAACAGATTTCCATTCATTCTGGAAAAAAGCATAGTCCAAAGTATGGTATAAGATCAACAATATAGCCATTGACACTATCACTCAGAAAGCCTGAAAACTCTTCGATCATAATTCAGCATTGTTTGGCACAGTAAATAGGTGGGATTTAAATACATGTAAATGACTTTACATTGCAGCCATTTTAAAAACAGAAAATTGTGCCACCAAAAATGAGTAGTATAATCTGATGTATAGGACATTATTTTAATTAGTTCTGATATAAGGAACATAGAAGGTTTGTTTTCTAAATTAGTGTTAATATAAAATTAATATAACATTCTTGCATTTGTTGACATTTATTCCCTCATTGTCTTATATCAATTTAATGTTATTATCCACCAATAATGGCCTGGCTCACACTTAATGCTCTGCCAAGATTTTTTACTAAACTTTTGGGAACATAACAGTGGTCGAGTGTACATATGCATACTCATCCATAATGGGTGAATTAGTTCATCATACTAAGACAGCGTATTGTATCCTTAGTATTACATATGCACTAGGCTAAAGCGAAATTTCTATTGGCATTACATTTGGCTTTTAATTTGGATTTTACCTCACACTGAAATTGTCAACCATAATATAAATACATGCTCATAAGCAAAAACCTAAATGTTATGTGTGTAAGGATTTGAGATACAATTTTTTTGGTGTTTATGTGGGTTTCTGGAGGACTGCTCTTTGGTTTTAAGGAAGCTTAAGTTACAGCTTATTTTAACTCAATTAATTTTAAAAAAATAATTCAAGGAAGAATCTGAGGAACAGTAAAATCTGCAGTTCAAAACATGATAAGGGATTTTAAGGGATTATCTGCTCCCCACCCCACTCCTCCAGTACTTGCATATGGGCATCACAGACAAATCAGATTCAATTTAGATGTATTACTTATCTGGTGGCCAAATAGATCATCCTCATGCTGGGAATCCATGTGCAGGAAATGATTTTTAAATCCTTCAACAGGAGAGATGCTATTGAATAATGTAGGGCAGCTTTCCCCAAGCAATCGTTCTATAGGTATGTTAGGTTACAATATCCATCATCCCCAGTATTACAACCAGAGTTGTTCTGGGTCAAGGTGAGGGATGATGGAAGTAGTAACCAAGTATATCTGGAGAGCAAACTGGTATAGGGTTAGCACTTATACCAACCTTAGTATAGGTGTATGGGGACCATTGATGCTTTTTTCTGTATGTTGGATATAATTGGACCAATACATGGGGAAAAATCCTGGACAAGCACTTTGTAGAATAAGTATAAATGGGGGAATATGTTGAGAACAGTAGTCATAAAGCAAAGTAGGTGGCTTTGGGAAAGAAATTATTTTTCCTCAGACTAATGTAAGTAACATTAGTTTTTGTTGTTAAAAAGGAATGCAGCTTCTGGCATATCTAAACAATTTGTTCGTATGTTGTATTCCAACAACATATAATAAGGCTGAACTTTGCATTGCATGTGAATTGGCTGCAAAAACAGCAGCAAACTTGTCTCAATAGTAAAAGACTTTTGTGTATTTCATAATATGATATTTGTATGTCAAATGAATGTAATGTCTTTTTCTTTTCCTCTCTAGATTCCAGAAGTAAAGACGAAGTTTTCTTCAAATCCTTCTGCTGTTTTCCAGGCACCATCTCGCATCCTCAGTATATAAATCTGGATCATGCCCATTTTCCATTCAACCAGCTTAAGGTTGTGAAAATGAACAGCTATGCAACTTTGTAAGTGCTGGTGAGGTAAAAGCAAAGGATTATTAAAAGCAGCTACAGTAATTATCAGAATTCATGCATCTATTATGAATATGTAAATCATAAACACTTGAATTTGAATTGAAGATAGTCTAACTTACTGGAAAGAATGACCTAGATCCATAGAAATATCCTCATTACCACTAGCCAGACTTGGTTTCCATTTGAAACACTGACTTTAGTAAGCAAAAACACAGTATTTTAAGCAGTGTGCTGATTCTTAAGTAAAAAGTACACCGTATAAAATGCATTATTAATTTTCCCTCTCCATTATTTCATGGTCATTTTACTAAGGGGTCCGTAAAACACTGAGTAGATTTTGAACTTTGCTGCTTCTTTTCACTCACCTTTAAATGTATCTCATACTGTTGCAGACATTTTAATGCCATGTTATTGAGAATCATTACACTACAGAGAATCAAGACCACAGATGTGAGCCTTATTTTGGGTGTTTGTAAAAGTCATCAAAGCATCATGGGAATGAAAGTGGAGTTGGGCTGAGTAGCTTCGATCACTTATATTGTGTGCATCATTTAGCCACCTCCCCAAGTTATTTAAATACAAACACCTAACAGGGATCAACTCTTTCTATAGTTTACTTCACTTCACTTCACTTCACTTCACTTCACTTCACTATTTTATTTTATTATTTAAATTTTTACACTGCTGAGCTCCCAACAACTCTGGGCAGTTTACAGATTAAAAACACAAAGAACAATAAAAAAATACAGGATAAAAATAAAGAACAAAAAATAGAACAAACCTGACAACAACAAAGCAAACCCACATGACCCAGAAGGCGACTTCAATCATGAAGCCAGTTCTTCAAGGCTCTCCATATTAGCAGGGTGGAGGCCATCCGAATCTCGGGGAGAAACTGATTCCAGAGGCCAGGTGGTACGGCAAAGAAGGTGCACTTCTGGGATCCCAATAGATGGCATTGGTTAATCAAAGGAACCTGGAGCATGCCAACCCTGCTGGATCGAATTGGCCGAGCAGATACTGCGGGAGATGGACACAAATAGTGCACATAGTATTCATTCTGAGTTACTTAATGTGGTTTCCATTTTCCTTGGTTTGTTACATAGCATCTTAATGCTAGAATTTACCTCAGAGGTCATCTAGTCCAACCCTGCTCAATGCAGGTTCTACTAGACCATCTCTGATGGATGATAATCCAGCCACTGTTTACAAACTTCCAACAAAGGTGAATCCACCACTTCCTGCAGCATACGATTCCACTATCTGACAGATCATACAGTAAGATCTGCATCTGGCTCAAATATCTGATTTGAAGACTGTGCTCCTGTCTCCCCTCAGTTGTCTCTTTTGTAAGCTAAACATACCTAGATACTTTCACTGTTCCTCATAGGGCTTGATTTCCAGACCCCTCGCTGTCTTTGTAACCCTCTTCTGAGGATTACAAAGTGGGTGTGACTAAGAAGTAGTTAGAAACCATCCTGTTTCTTTAATAGGCCAGAGAGACTCCTAAATCATGCTCTGAAATGAAAGCTGAACGTTTTAAAAGTGAGGTTGCTTCATTTATTTATACTGTACTCCACCTATTATACAGAGTAGGTTGTTTACATTAAAGTATGCCAAACAAGAAACACAGTTAAAAACACAACATGCAGCCAGAGGATCACGGCCTCATCAATATTTTCTGACTTAAATATTTACTATTAACTGATCTTTGTCAAACACATTTTTCCTGGAGGTGTTTTTTTGCAGTTTTGATACTGTTTTCCTGAAGGTCCCATTTCACTGAGAATTCAGTTATTAAATTCTGGGAAGAACACTCCTCAGAGGCAGTACAGAGGCAACTGCAACCAGTGCTCACATTTTCTTGGGGGCTAGTAGTCCTCACTAGCTTGAGTTAACCGTTGAGTATTGCACTGGGCCAGACATTAAAGCAATGGCCAAGATAATTTGTAGTAACATTATTTAATGTGTATGTAAATGTTGTACATAGAAATGATTTTCCAAAAGAAAAAAGAGTGCATGCTTAATATGATTTTACTTAACATTCATAGTTTTTGAGTATGCAAACTAGAAAATGTATTGCCTTGAAAAAGCAAAATTACTGCTTGTTGCTAAAGCAGTTGTGCTATGTAATATGTGTTATAGGGTAATTTTCAGAGAGACAATTTTACATTTTCATTATTTTGGAAGTGCATTTTTGTACAGTATTGTAAAGTAATTTTTGCCTAGGCATTTTAAATACACCATTTCTTAGTTCTCATTCACTTCCTTATATTGCATATATTTAAGACAGGGTTTATGTACTAATTGCCCCACCTTAATGTTTTCCTTTGTTTTCTTATGCAGAAGTTACAATAATATTCTGTTGCCCTGATTCCAGTATATTTATATAAGCTTTTGATGGGCACATGAAGCTTCTGATTGGAGTTGAGTTTCTCATCTAGCCCTGTGATGGCCCCATTTTGAATGGGACCTTTCTGTGAATATACAAGAATTTATATATTGAGAATTTTTTATTTAACATTTCCCAGTTTAAAATGTGGCCAGTAACATGCAGCCAACCTTTCATGTATAAACAGAAGTACAAGTAAAATACAATTTGGAGAAAGTTGGCTGCACCAAGTCCTTTCACGACAAATGTACTTAAATCGTATTCATTCCCTCAGCTAAGATCTAAAAGGTTATTTAGGTTATCAGAAAGGTCTTAGGGGTGTGTGCCTGTTGAAAGTGTTTTTTCATTCTTTGAGCAACAGGCACTCCTGCCTTTCACCAGTCCCATATCATAAACTGCTTTTGACAGTATTTTGTCCTGCAATCAGTTTTCCTTTCAGCAAAGGGCCTGCTGCTTGAGAATTGTATTTTCAAAATCTCCTTGAGCATGTTTTTTTCCTCTTTGAAACAGTCACCATAGTAAGATGCTTATTTAGAAGGTAAATGACAACATTGTTCCTTCAACAGTCATATGGGGCCAATTTGCCAGATAAATCTAACATGCTGAAAGGATTAGGAGAAATGGGAAGGTAAAAATTATGATTTTGTAGGAACATGTTCCAAATTGCCATCCTTGCATGTTGGGTGTTTCTAGGTGAAAATCCTATTAATTCTGCTTGACTGATCTGATTTCTTTGAACAGTTGAGTTTAATTAATTTATTTGTACATCTGACTTTTACTAAATGGAGAAAAGAAAATCACACTGCCTGCTTGGTTACAGTTATTTTATTTCTTAAAGAAAGAAAAAATATGGTAGTACATGACATTTGTATTTTATGGAATTAGATAATTTAATAAAAATGTATTTTTGGTTACACATTCTTTCTCCTATTCTGTTTCGTCTAATAGAAATCATTTGAATACTGAAAGATTTTGATGAACTAAATTTACACAGAAGGGCACTAATATAAACTGTCATGTGCTTTACTTCCTGATCCTATCTATCTAGAGTGAAAAACTGTATACCTTTTCCTACACTCTGTATTCTCCTCTCTAACATAGAACTAGGAAAAGGAGTTCTCTTTTTTCCCTCACATTGCAGGTGATCTGGGCATATCCTTAACTTGTTCCCCTTTCCATCTTAACAAATAATAGCTGATTTCTGAGATTTCTGCTAACATTGCTCATTTTGAACTTCCTAGGTGCTGTCTAACTCTGGAACCATCTTGTTCAAATTTAGTGAAGCAGGTCCACATAGGCAACCATTTCTAATAATTAGTTACATTAGATCATTGGTTCTCAACGGGGCGGTACCGCCCCCCGGAGGGCGGTGGGAGGATGCTAAGGGGCGGTGAACTTGTTTTGGGCGGTAGGGGGGCGGTGGGCATGTTTTGGGCGGTAGAGGAGCGATGAGCATGTTTTGGCATTCAAACTTAATTTTAAAACTCCCCCCAAAATTTATTAAATCGATTATCCGGTTTACACCATTTGTACCACCAATAAAACGAACTCACGCGACGGCTGCCCTCACGCACTTCTA